GTACAAAAGTAGAAACTTGCGATCTTCCTTTCACTGCAACTAAAGGTTACTAGAATATTCTTCTACTCTTTTAAGGTTTTAGATTTATTCTTTTCTGCTTACAAGCTGTTTAAACTCTTTACGTAATCACCCATTATGCAAGCGAAGGAAAGTAGTATGCATGGCAGCCAAACCGACAAAAAGGGTCGCGCGGTCATCTCCAGCAGTCATCGAATCTCTTCCATTGTTTGGTGGGAACATGCGACCATTTACAATCTGAATGCAATAACATCTACTCTTGATATACCCAACTAGCAGGCAGAAAGCAGACATGTGTCTTCAAGAAAGGTCCTGTGCGAAGGGTACGTAAGGTCACAGACTCTGAGGAGTACACAGAACTGCCATCGATGAAAGCTGTGTTTTCATTGTACTGTTCCCTTGGGCGGTTCCCAACACCGGTCCCACACACATGTACCGAACGTGTGAACGGTACGCAAGCGCCTCTTCTGGAAAAAATGTATCTACAAAATGATTCCCGAACTGTTTATCTGCAGACGTTGGATCTGTCGGAGGTCGAATGACGTTTGCACAGCGTGGCCCATTCGAGGCGCAGTTACACACATTGGCTAGGGCATTTTTGGTTATGTCATGGGAGATGAACTAAATCAACATGTCTTCTCAGTTTTGCACGATTAATTGATTTAGGGGTACCTGTCCGAACTGCATCAGCATGCTATTTGAAGTGCTTGCAATAGTTTTTCTCGTCGAAAGAAGGAACATGGAGACTTCGCGAGGATTTGGTCTTGCTCGGGTAGTCGCACCTGAATGTTGTAATGGGGATCCGTAACGCCTAATTTTCTTCATCCTAGCAGTGGAAAAGTTCGTCGGATAGAGTAATCCAAAACTTTGATAAATACATAAATTTTCCTTCTGATTGTTTGCTCCAGTAAAATTTCATATCCATTACTAGGATGAAATTTCGTCTTTTGAAGCACACTTAGACGAAGATAATGCAGTAAAATGATCATTTATCGTACCTACTTAAATGCCCTTCAAACGCACTTCATTTGCATATCTAGGTAACCTCTTTGCTTTTTTGAAACAAGTCTTGAAAGTTTATCTTTCAGCAAAATAATCCAGAGATAACTCTGAATAACACTGCAGTCAGCACAGCAATACAACAAATAAACGACATGCTACACTCTTTATCATACATGGAGATTATGATTGTTGGAGATCAGTTTCAATTTGAGTCTTGAAAGCCTCACACGCTTATTTTTAGTAAAAAAAAGAAAAAAACCATAATTTCCCACAATAATTTTTGAATATGGTAATCAAAATCAGCTCTAAAGCATTTTTTGGAGTACATTATCTTGTGGATATCTCCTTCGTCCGATAGATTCTACGTAATTAGTAGATTGTCTAAAAAACGAAGTTAAAAATTAGAAATTAGAATCTTCATTCACCATTTCTCAAACAAGCAAAAATGTCAATCTTTTTTAGCTTTAGCTTCCAGTCTTACGTCAAGCCACTTCTCATAGTGCAATTAGAGTTGGTGTTACATTTTTAATGTTAACCTGCCCAAGCCGAAGTTGTCTATTGTCACCTATATTTTCCGGATATTGCTGGATAACCTCTTATTAAGAGAGGGCTCGCATATGCAACGTTTTCCTCAAAAAGAAAGGCGAATAATTTTTTACACGAATTCAAAGAAAAAAATATGAGCAGCTTAACCCAAAGAGCATTAGTACGGTTTTACGATGCAAGATCTCAAAACTAAGTCAGTACTCTCATTTTTGAAACTAACTCATTCTCATATGCTAAAAGATGACAGTTATTGTTTCGCCATTAAAACCACAACAACACCCAAATTCCTTGATCAACAAGAAAGCTTACCAATCAGGCTGTTTACTCCATCGTCATAAGCACTCGGAAGAAGTCGGATGAATGGTGTGAAAGCAGCACCCTTAAAAAGTGTATTTATTCTAATAACTGCAGCGCTCGCCATCAATCTGAACGCAAACGAAAAAAAGGCTTATCTCGTTTTGCTGTAAATAAATTTCTCGAATTTGATCAAATGTCAGTTTTCCACCTACTATCATGTAGCAAACTAGTTTTCGGTTAGGCTGTGAAAATTTCAGAGATATCCCAAAAACGCAATAAAAAGCTGGTCAAAGTGATGAGTCCCTTCTCTATATTCCACATTTTCTTTGACTTCCGATAATATTTTAAGTGTGCAGCTTTCAAAATGTTTATCGTTTATTATTGTCGAGCTTCCAAAGGAGAGCACTCCAGCTCTCTAACTGCAGAAGTGCTATTGGAATTCTGTTTCTTTCTAATAATCCGAT